AGTTGTCAGCCAGGAAAAGATAAAACCGATAATAAATAATATTAATAAATGAACAAGATTACTTTGCAACGCCCAAACAATATAATATCGAATATATAATACATTTCGTATGTAAATTAATAAAAATTTTATGCAAATTCTGTCTTACCATTAACACTTTTCGTTAGGTCATCTCCAATTTGACTCATGTAATGTCTTTTATTTAGTATTTGGAATGCAAAATCACGTAGAAAAGGAATTATATCCTGAATGAATTATTCAAAGTTATAGTAAATTATTTTTTAGTAAAAGGAAAATCTGTAAATCTCCTCATATAAGCCATAAATTGAATTAATATCATCAATTTTGGTCTTTTTTCATCCTTCTTATTGTGATCTACTTCGGAAAAATAATAATTCAAATAATAATTCAATAACTTTGAATAATTCATTCAACACATAATTCTTTTTCTATGTAATTCTATACTCCAAATACTAAATAAAAAAAGACTATCTGAGCCAAATTGGAGGTAGCCCAATAAAAAGTGTGTTAATGGTTAAAAACTAATATATATTGTATTTTAATACTTCCTTTTGAGATCCGCAACTAACAACTCGTACATTCACAGAAATATATATAAATATATTTCCTTGTGTTTATTCGCGGCGTATTCTAGTATATGCACGATTTCGAACGTAACGTCTTTTGGGGCACTCTTGACCTAAGAAATACTGAAACGTAAGACGTAGAAAAATAAGGCTAGGCATTGTTAAGCGACCTGTACTTCTGGTCGACGTATTCATTCGCAATTCATTCACTCACATAGTAACTTGCATATTTTCATGCATTTCGTGTATGCACGCCAGCATTCCTCACACACATAGCGCAATTTCGTGTCTCTTCGCGATCATAAGAGTAAAACGGATCTTTAGAACCGCTCGGTTTCGTCGTAGTCATCGTGCGCTCTTCTGTTCAGTTTCTACACTCTTAAGACTATATTATTTAACATAAGGCTGGCTTACTCAGCTTAGAGGAACATTGTTTTCTCTCTTAGATACGTAATCTAATTCTTATATCAATGTCCGGCGTACGCCGGATGTCGCAGTGTGTAAGTATATCATTTCATTCTCTACGGCGTGATCTACGCTTCAGGCTCTACAGGAAATACTGTTTCGTTTTACATTTTATACAAAATCAACTCTATGTATATCTCTTTATGTGTGTATATATATATATGTATATATATATATATATA